CTGCTCTAGGGGACTGAGCCATGTCTAGGATGGGAGCTTTGTGCAGAAATTCCTAACTTTGCACCAATTTTCTTTGTGGCTTTGCAGGAGTCACATTATGTCTGTACTTTCAAATGGATACTTAACTCCTTGTTTAGCCATTTAAAAAGAAGCTTTAATTTCCTTTAAGTACTGACTACCTAGAAGATCTCCTAGTTAACAGAAGCTCCAGCCCTATGGATCACTTGTGTTGTGGTGTTTAGAGATTTTGAGGCATAACCTTTAAGAACAAGAGCTCAGGAGTAGCTGCTGAGTCTTTTTATTAGTCTAACCATCTCACTGTAATAGGTATATTATTGTATGTTTGCAGATATACAGAAGAACATGAGCACAATATATTTCACACCCTTTAAAACAATTGTCTTAATATATAGTCCTTTATTAATATAATACTGTTCTGTTGACTAATTTATTTGAATTCCAGCTATGTTCCTTTCACAACTGACACAACTTGCTGTAGTATCACAGAAATGAGATTTCAGAAGTATATCTAGAGCTTGATCTCCTGTACATAAGGGTCTGATTTTGCAACTGCTTGAGCCAAGTATCTGTTCTCCACCTCTCTCATCAATCAGATATTCTTGAATGAGTTAAAATGTCAGTTGAGGAAAGAAATATGTCTATAACAAATGCTTGGAAGCAGAACTAAAAGATCACAGGATAGGACAGCAATGTTCATGCCAGGGGAACCTAGGAGGCAAAGCAAGGTGCAGTGAGTGAAATAGGAAACAATTCTGTAGGTCTTGGCAGAGCTTTCCTTTGCAATATTTATTTAAAGCTGTCTGGAGGCTTTCCCTGGAACCTTTCTCTCTTGACCCAATAACAAAAGCATTCATGCTACAAACTTTATTGCGGGATATGTAAAAGAAATGCAAACCACCAGATTATTGGCTGACAACCTTGGGAAATCCTGTCTTAATGTTAATCCTGCAGAACTTGTTCAAGGGCTAAAAGCACTCAGAATAGATGGATGGTGGCTGTGTCAGGTATTTCTCTTAAACCCGCGCATTTTTACAGACAGAAGACACAATGGATTCATGGGACCATAACTCCAAAATATGTAGCAGAAACAACCTGTATGATTCCATGAAGATAATTAAGAATAAATGGTCTTGGGAGGCTGTTAGAATGCACTTTACAATGGTGCAGTTCAGTGTAAGAGCACACAGTTTGGTGAGGGACAGAGGGGATGTACAGATCTGGCCTCCCCTGAAGAGTGCAGGGATGCCCGATCCCATGCACAGAAAGGGCTGTGGATGTCCCCCTCCTTGCTCTTCCTCATGGGGAACCTCCTGATAAGACAGGGGTAGTTCTGTTGCATCAGCTGCTGACAGCTTTTTGCGCCACTACTACCAAATCTGTCCTAACACATTTTTAAAGGGTAAATCTAAACATTTCCTGATGTCACCTTTCAGGGGTGCCAAGGGTTAGTATCTCCTTATCATAAGGAAGCAGTTTGGTTTCAAGGGACAGCCCAGATGACCAGATTGCCCCAGGCCTCAACTGTCCCCGGGTTAACACCCTCCAGCTGAAGGATCGAGCTTACAGCAGGGCAGGAGAGGGTATCCTCTGAGGTAACTCTTCTAAAAGTATTGGCTTTGCATGTCTTGGTCTTTCGTATTAGAATCACAGAATCATTCAGGTTGGAAAAGTCCTCTAAGTCCAGCAAGTCCAACCATTAATGATTCACATTATTGCATTGCTCTGGATGCTGAATGTCCCAAATTCACCTAAGAATTATTTGCATTAGTCATGCCAGACTTTTGCACTCTTTTGGTCCCATTCACTTCTTTATCCTGTTCAGCTGAGGTTAACAAGGAATTTGCTAAAGACTCCAGTGGCAATAAGAGCAGGCCAAACCACCACAACACATCAAATCTGTGGCCTCAGAAAAGCACGCCCTTGTGCCACTGTGTTTTCTGTGAGCAGCTGATGTTTTTATGACCAAAGGGTCAGAAATGGTGCTTAGGAAACTGTCTAACCTGATGCTGACAAAGTCAGCACTGGTCCCCTCCCCTCCCCTCTCTTCCCCTCTCCTCTCCAAATCACCCATGCAAATTACTTCACTGGGTAATTTTCCTTTCCATCTGTTTTATATTGCCAGTAAGTTCTATTAGATGCCAATATAGTGATAGCTTTATGTCCTAAACTGCAATCCTGTTCATATTTTGTTATCTTTCTTGGCTGTAAAGATAAGAGAACTCCTCTACTCTGCTATTTGAAGTCTGGACATTTTGTGAAATTAGCTTGCCTTTCCTTGATCAAGTTAAGGACATTTCCTTTTCCTTACTATTTCCTATACTATTTTTGTCTTTTTTGACAAAAGAGAGATTTTTCTTCATCAAGGTGGAGGTCTAAGGCTAAACTAAAGTACTGCATTTTAGCTGCTATATGCTTATCTGCTGTTTGTGCTCTCTCTTCTGCAGTTTCGATTAACAAGTTTTCCTTTAATTCCAAGGAGAATAAGACTAAATGATCTCTCTCTCTCTTTTTTTTTTTTTTTTTTTTTTTTAGAGGTGTAAATTGCTTGTGATATCTCAAAATCTGTTTCATATGGAAAATTGTCCGTAAATGTAGTGCCTGTTTTGGAATGGAATAAAGACAGGGCATGGTATGATTTCATTGTGTTTCTTACAAATGCATTACATTGAATTAAGTTAGAGTATTGACTTCTGCCATCATGCTTAACAAGCCAATGGCACAGGGCAGCAATGCTACACCAGCCAACCAGGTATAACATAAGTTTATTCATTTCACAGGTTCTGATATACTTATTGCTACTACATTGTGATAATAAGTCACTGACCAAGGCCTTGGCAATCCAGCTGCTGGCTACAAACATTGGTTAGCTGAAAAGGTGGTCCTAGGAATATGGCTCATTGAATGAAGTTTATTGCATCAGAGATGCTATTTTCTATTTAAAACAATTCAGCTTTTGAGTATGTTTGGAGAAGGAATTTGAAATTCCTCTGTAGTTTATAGTGGAAGTGTGAAGACCTGTAAATGTTTACAGCACAGCCGTATAGTCAGAGGCATGCAAATGTAAAAGAAGAAGCTCTGTCTGTAACAACGTATGCTGCAAAACCCTAACAGATAATACTTGCTGAAACAAATTAAGGCAGATATTTAATTTCAAACAAAAATCTTATAAATTACATAGTGGGGTTGACTAGAAACCTAATTTTCCTAATGCTTTACGTTGTTCCTTGTGGAGTCTGACTATCTTCTTCAGACCTTGAAGTGACCTTGGTCACTGCTGGCCATTAAGTAATTCAGTTGTCGTGGCTGGAGCAATTTCTAAAGCTGAGAATTGCTGTGCTTGAGGAATAGTGAAATGCAAGTGAGTGGCTTGAATGCACAGCCAGACCATGGGCCTTTATTTTTCCATGAACATGTGCCAAATAATTACTTATTAGATGTGCAGTAACTATCTCATAATTCTTTTTAAAACACTGACAGTGTAGCAGCCTTAAAATACTGTTTCATTTCAGATTCTATCTCTGGTTGTCTTGTGCCTTTATGAGGGAATTAGTGTGAACAGTTATTGTTTTACAAGACAACATCAGAAAAGTGCATTTCTGGTGTTAATTTCTCCCTGTTTTTTTCTTCCTTTAACTGAGTAAAATTTCAGCATGGTTATTGTGAGGCTGTGCTGGTGATAAATACCAGGGTTAATTTTAAATAGATGGATGGAAGTGCAGGATTAGGTAGGAACCAGTAATGGTGAACTCTTACTTCTACATAAAAAGCCCATATCTATCTGCAGGATGGAGCCCTAACAATACAAAATTTTTCATGGGATGCCATAAACTCATACCCAGAATCATGCTTTCAGCTCTCAGATATCAACACCTTGTTCAGATGAACTCCTGCATTACTTTGAAGTCTTCAAAAGGCAGATGAGAGACAGCATAGATTTTAATTTAACTATTCTCTATATTATTATAATCAGGATATGATTATGTTTACCCTAGTCTTTACTGAATTCAAGACTGTCAAGAAAAACTGTTAAGTTTTTCATTGCATAAGGTAACCTGCAAATAAAAACATACTTTAAAATCCTAAATACATAATGATAGTTTTATTTTAACAGAATAAAGAATAAGAATATGCTTTATAAGTATTGATTAGTTGAATTTTGCAAACCCATTATGAACAAGACAAAATTTTGAACTTTTGAGAAAATAACAGGAATTTTCCCTTCTGTTTTGCGGAATAATATAAACAGTGGTGCAAAATTAATCTGTGTTCAGAAGTAAATGATTGCATTGATCATATGTGCTTATCATTGAAATTCACTTTGAAAACTTCCTGGTATCTTTTTTCCAATGTGAACGACGAGTAATTATATTTTAGGAGCATATAATATTGAATAATACTGTGTTATATTGGTTTCTTAATATAAAAAGTTCTGTAATAATAAGGAATTATTTTTCCTGCCCCAGTTGGTTTTGAAAGTCTGAGTATGTCATGCATGGATTCAAGATTTCTTGGAGTTCTGATCTAGAATTTTCTTTTCTGATTGATAAGACAGAAGTGCCACACATGACTCAGTCTGTCTGAGAAAGTCCATATTGTTGGAGAACAAACATGAAAGGTGTGAACATTTCTTGTTACAGAAGTAAATGAAACAACACAAGTTCACTAGCACCTATGTTTTAAAACACAGCTCTTTTTGAGTGGTCTGTGGTTTAAATGGACATCCAGAAGCATGGGCAAAGGTGGAAACATTTGCTATATCAGCATAAGAGGCAATAATTTCCACCTACTTAACTGAAAGGTGTATTTGTTTTAGTCTTCCTCACTGAGGCTTTGATAAGGAAAGGGAAGAGAAAGATATCTGTTTTCAGTATGTCAGTAACCAGACTCCAGGAAAACAGTGACAATTGCCAAGCTATCCAGCTTGATGAAAGCCTCAGCTGCATTCAGATTCTTGTCTGTCTTCCAGTGAATGATATAAAGCTGAAAACCAATTAACAGGATCCATTTTGCTGGTTCTATTACAAAGGAATTCTATTACAAAATCAGTGAGAAATAGAAAAGCCACTCTGCACTCTTAGGGTCTGAGGAAACTGAGGACATGCCCGTGAAAGCTTGCAGATTTATGGTGGTCAGCTGAATTGCCCTGGCATTGTCAGGACTCACTCAGGCTTTACCTTGGGTAGGCACAACTGCAGGGATTCCTGAAAACAGTTTAGGGGTAAGTACACAGAGATGTGGACAAGCACAGCTTACAAAAGACAGACATTTTTCTAACTCTGCTGCTAACAGTTTGCAGTGCATGCCTTTAAAAATGTAGTGCATCAAATAGCATTTTGTGGAGTGCAACCATTTTGTTACACGTGGTGCAATATTTACCCACAATAGCCCCATTTACTGCAAAAAATTGATGGTATGGCCATGAATGTCATAGAGTTTTAAGGAATTTTGTTTAGTCTAGCATTGTATATTGTATCTTTTTTTTTTTTTTCCTTTTTTCCTATGGAATATAAACTTTCAGTTTGGAAAGCATAAGAATTTCTTTAAATGCCATCTCACCTATGAATATGTTTAGCATTTCTGTAGGAATTAAGTAATTCTATGGCAATAGACTAGTCCTGGATTACTTGTATAATGTTTCAGCAACATCACAAGAGAAAATATAAAATCTTCTTAAAATACAAGGAGGAGATTCTAAAATATAGAATCAGAACATAGAAATTATCATGTAATAGACATAATCCTAAACATTTTATTTCAATCCCTTTTTGTTTCTAATTCCATTTAATTTTAAATCTGAATTGCTGTATTTTCAACTTAACATGTTTACTGTTTCAACTTATTTTAAACTATTGATTCAAAACTATTGAATATCTAATCATGCACTGCTTAAACACAGCTGGAGTACACTACCTCTTTACAACTGAAAGCAGTTCCAAGGGGACACCCCCTTCTTATCTTGGCTGTATCAAGTGAGATAACTTGATCACTTTGGCAAGAGAAAAGGAAGATAGTTCTGGCTGTGTGTTCCTAATGCCTGGATGAAAAACGTATAATACAGCTCCTTAGTTTATCATGTTGGAATGTTCATAACATTTAAAAAGCTGCCAATGATAACATTACCTGGAATGAACATGAATAATTTGTGTATGCTGATGACTATTAGCAGGACTTTGAGGCACTGGAAAACAAATAAAACCTTTATTTTTGAGATGGTTTTAAATTTTTGTAAAACACACCTTGTTTCATTATCTGAAGACATACTGGAACAGCTGCTGGGGCCCTTACTAGATAACTTTTTTTCCTCTTTGCTTTACTAATTTCTTCTGTGTTGCCTTCTTATTTGGTGTCCTTGAAAAGCCAGGAGGAACAAAACCAATAAACCCAACCAACTTGCAGAGATCAGCATGTTTATAGCTTTGAGGCGCTCCAGCTACAGTTTTAGTGGGGCATCGGGTGATCAGTCTCTCTGAAAAGCAGATAATGTAGTGTCAGGCTCCATGTACTTGTACAGCTGACCTTTTAAACATTTAACAGAGGTTATTTACTTTTATACCTGTACCTTACAGCCCTACTTCACTATTTAAATATGGATTAGATTATCTAAATTTAGCTTAATAATCACAGTCAACATAACCCAATTTGCTTTTGCAGGGTCAACTTTGCACTTGCAGGGATGGTATTTTTTTTGTAAAATAAAATAACTACCAAAGCTATCTACAAATGTTTTTTTTTTTTTCCCCAATGTATGATATATGTGGACAGACCTTGAAAACTTGACTTTGTCTTTTCTTTCATTGACTCTGCCTCTGAGGCATATTTCCTTCTATCCATTGTGTGCTCTGAGCCTTGCTTATTAGTTTTGAATGGAAATTGCTGCAACATTTATGTTCCAGAGATGGGTCCTCCAGTAAGCCTTGCAAATGCAATGTAAAAACTTCATCAATCAATAAAGTCTTCCTGACAGCCAAGTTGTACATTTCAAAGATTTTTATACTGTGCAAGCAGTTTTCTCTTTATTCACACCTTCTTACATGAGATTATTTTTAAGTAGCTAGAGAAAAAATCCTGACAGTTTATGCAGTTAATCCAAAGTCATTGAAGGTTTTAATTCTAGATATGTATACAAGTGCATCAGTCATAGTAAATCTGCAAGTCTCTTTGACACAGTTTCCAAATTCAGGTGAAATATATGTGAATACATCTTCTCCTCCAGAGAGTATGACTGTTTTAAAGGTCTATTTCTTCACAGAAGTAACAGTTATAGGTACTTGATGTTTTCTGAATTTAGAGTATGAGCTGCCCCAGGTGTACTGAGATATTACTGACATTGCTTATTGGTTATTTCCATTAATTCCTTGCTTACAAGCACATAAAAGTGTATTGATTTCCACTGTAGTGATAGGCACCTGTAATTGTGCATGCTGCTTAGAAATATGTACCTGCAGTTGCATATGCAACATCACACATCTGCAGAAAGAAATCTCCTTTGCTATCAAAGTAATAAGACTCACCAAAGGAAAAAAAAATCCAAAAAACAAAACACTAGTCCACAGTGTTTTCATATGTGTTCATAGAATAACTTTTGCATATGTATAAACCTCCCACTGTAGAAAAAAAAAAAAATTAAAAAAAAGGCACAATTGAGTAACACAATTGAGTGTTTAGAAAGTCTCCTCTTATGTTCCCCTCCCCAAATCAGTGAGTGTCCTGGAGATTTCCTACTGGGAAATTACCTTTTACCATTGACACAAGAACACTTGCCAACAAGTCCTAATTTTAAAGAACACAATTTGGATCTTCTCTGACATTTAAAAGGTGTTGCCAAATCATATAACATATATAGTCTTTATAAGTACTCCTGAAAAGCAAATAGTCTTTCTATATAAATTTTTTAAAAGAGAATGAAAAAAAAAAAAAAAATCTTATATCCCCCCCTCTTCAGGTCCCCTTTTTACTAAACTGAAGGGTTGTCTTTATCCTTATCCTTAAATTTCATGTGGAATGAAAGTCCAATACCAATGGTCTCTTTGCATCTGGAAGGTTTCCAAGAGACACAGAGGAGACCCACAAATTGAATTTTAAAAATATTTAGTTTTAGTATCTATAGGAAACTGAAGGTCTCCACTGGCAATAGAGTATAACATGTGCCAGTGTTCAGGTCCCAGGAAAAATAAATAATTGACGTTTTCTGCTTCTAAGTCTGTACCAGTACTGAACTGATGTCACTTTCCCATGGAATTGTATACATAACAAAGATCCTTGATATAAAATCCATGTAACTTATTATTGTTATAATTAAAATGCATAAATACATTATTAAACAAATCTGTTTTTCTTTTAAAGATTACTTTTACCTTTGTTGCCTTGATAACTGCAGCTCAAACTTGCCTTCTTTTTCTCCTTGCAAGCTGCTGTCCTTTTTTAAAAAATGCTACTGGTGCCAATGAAAACTGCTAAGAAAAGATCACTGATTTGAATTTCTTCTGAATTTCTAACTTACCTAAGAGTTTTTATATGCCTGCTCGAAGAGTAAAGACATTAGCCTTTTCTAACCAGTCTTTATTGATTCCATATGACTTCAGAAGGGCATGAGAAACTACGGCTAGAGGTTGTAATAAGGTTGTGATAAGGAAACAGTGTGGTCTGCACAATCAGAAAATATTTCTTTTTTGATTCAGTACAAATATTAAGACAGATGCGAGTTGGATGCCAAATTAAAATACAAATCATTCTAACTGTTCAAATACTACCCAAAGACCTTTACACTAAATAACCCAAAGGATAATTATGATATAAAAATGAAGATTACAGAGAAAGCAGTGGATGCTCAGCCTTTTTTAAAATCCATGTTCGTGATTTAAGAAATTTTCATGCAGATTTTAGAATATAGATTTTGAAAAGTCACTAAAAAATAGTCAATCTCTGTAGCTCTTAGTGGTGGTAAACAACCTTCAGTGTTCAAGAAAATGGTCAATATATTATTAAATACTACATTAAAACAACAACAATGGTCTTAATAAGAAAGGAGGTCCAAAACCTACTAAGTCCTACCAGCTTCAGATGCTTTGGGAATGATCTCATGCCATTTTTATACTGCTAGGAATCTTCAAGGCAATCTTTTGGGATTGAAACATGATTGTTTTAAAGCTAAGATCTGTTAAAACATATGAGATTTTGCCTGGATAAATTCTGTCTCATGCATACTCAAAGCAGGATTGCATTTTTGGGACCTTATGCTTGATAAGTAGTGCAGCACGTTAAATAGTTGTGGTATTATCTATATTTGTAAACATTTTAACTGAGTGTATGGAGTAATTATTTCTATATAAAATAAGGTTTATCACAGATTATGTAAGTCTTGCCTTGTCATCCTGAGTTGCAAAACTGGAACTTGTTGACATTTTCCTGTTTTTCTTACAGGCTGTTCTCAGTAATACGAAACTACTGATATCTGCCTTTGCAGATGTCCGCAGCTGACGTCAGGAATTTCAGGCACCATTGTGCAAGTTGTGTTCTAACCTGTAAAACTTGTTGCAGTGGTGATTAGGGATATGACAACTTTCAGGTACATCTCATTCATAGCTGGATTGCAATTTTCTGTTCATTTTTTTTGGGTTGTTCAGAAATTATGTTTCATCAGAATAGAAAATGTTCAAAGAAAAATTAACACCACAAACTTCTGCTGAAGGTCATCTTCAACTGCTTGATCTCTGATTCAAGTCAGATTACTAAAATGATATCAGTCAGCTTGAAACAGAATATGCATCTTGCAGAACAGAAATTTTGACTTTTGACCATATCTGATATCAATTACCATTGCTCCTTTGGAATAATGTAGGAGATCAGTTCCTTCACTTCTAAGCGAGCCAGAGCACCAAATAATTTGCAGTTGTTCACACTCATGGCAAGGTGAGAGAGACCCCTCAGTTTCTTGTCTGCCATCAGTTATCTGTAGACTATGTTTGTTACTGTGAGTTAGTTATATAAGGTTATCAAATGTGCATAATTATACAGTTATATATCTATATATAACTCTATATATGGAATTATATATAGTTATCAAAGACCTTTTGCCTGCAGTCAAGAACTATCAGCTGAACCACTGAAAAAAAAAGTGACTAGTTAGATGGGACTAACCTAAAGAGATCTGAAAATGTATTTATGGTTTGTGTGGTGCATGACAGCATGATAGATGGACAACATAATATAAAGAAATTCAGCGACAAAAATACAAAAGAGTCAGGCAAGGTAATATTGAATTTTCTAAGAAAGGAATGAAGTTTTAGGAATAATACCAAAGGAAAAATAAATATTATCTTGTTATACAGATGCAATGAGAATATAATTTGGAAATATTACCACAGTTTCTTTTGCTTGATCAGATAATCAATGTCAATTGTATGACTATGAAAAATATTCTTTCTTCACTAGGTGAGGATGGCAGAGACTCAGTAAAATGATCTCATGGAAGAGAAGCCAAGATTTCGGAACTGTGACCTTTTCACTGTCGCATCAGCCTGGCTATAAAGTAATTCTAGACTCTGGTTTAATGCAGCAGCTTGTGTGTGACTGACACAACAACTGCTTTGCTTCTTGAAACCCAACACAACTGGCTTATGATTCCTGCCATTACTGTTTTCTTTTTCTACATCCTTAAGTGTACTTCAGCTTTTAGCTATGATCCTATCACTGTTGTTAAAATATTTAATTGTAAATATTTCTTAATTAAAGAAAATTAATTCTAATTCTGCTGATTCTTAGAACTTTAAATAACAACTTGTCTGTCAACTCCTTTTCCTTTTTTTTCTGCATGAATGCAGGGTGTAAGGTTAATATTATGAAGCAGCTCTTGACCTCATGCAAAGTCCAAGAGCCAGGAGTCAAAGAAAAAGAGTCCAGTGTTTTTTTAAATAAACTTCCCAATTTTTTTAATTCTTGAAGTTACAAGGTGGCTGTGCAATAAGCCTTTCTCAAGATAGCAAAGAAGTTAGGTTTGACTTTAAAGAAAGTCCTAGGAAATGAAGCTTAGAAAGGGTGGCTGAGAGATTACTGCTTGTTGCCCAGCTCTTTCTATTTGGGCAACTGCTTTCAGATCCCTTATCTATCTGACAAAACCCATTTCAAGGCTTTTTTGGCAACTACTTCATGGTAGGAGGAAATACCTGAACTCAAAGAGCACTGAAATTTTTTTTCCCAAAATAAGAGGTTTTTGTAAATTTCCATAGGGATGGAAGCAAATTATTTAAAAATTTAAGTTAAAATAATATTATTAGAGCAGTTTATTTTTGTGGCTCTTGTGCATTTCTCCACTGTTCTTGTAATCCAGAGGTTGTCATGTTTTTTCAATACATTAGAAATTGTGGGACAGAAATCACAAAAATGTCCCAGCAACCCATGGCATAGGAAGGCTGAGGATAATAGATGCTTATACACTTCTTAAAACTCAGCCCTGTATTCCATCAACCACTGATTGTTATCTACACATTTTAGGCTACCCCAATCTGCAGGGAAAGTGTTAGCACTCTTCCAGGAAACTGGGATTAATGAAACGTGATAGCCTTGGCAAAGCCTTCACAGTACAAATAGAAGTGGATCCCTGGCTTTCTGGATGAATGTGTGCAAAGTTTTAATGTCTAGAACTCTGAACCTACAAAACATAGATGTGTTTACCTTTAGGCACAGAAGGACACCTACTGAAGTTATATGAAAGTATGAAGTTAAAAATGAAGATAGTATAAAAATGAATGAAAAAGAATCTTATTTTAGGGATGTTAGTCGAAAAAATCCCAGAAAGCTCTTCCAAAAAATATTATGTTATTTTATGTTTGTTATGTTATGTTATGTTAATTATACTATATTAAGTATATTATATTATATATTAATATTGAAATTATTTTTCATTTTGTAAGTTTCAAATACTACATATCTCAATAGTGTATTGATTTGTGAAAAAAACATGCAAATATTCTTTCTACATATTTCACTAGCTCTCGTAGTGACCTTTTTTATTTAATGTTTACAGAGAATCGAGATACAGTTATTTGTAATAGTCTGGTCAAAATTCAATATTGTATCAGACAGTCTTCCCATATAACTATTGTAACCAGTGGGGGAAAGTTGCAAAGTCACAAAAGTTCTGGAGTGAATAGGAGGGCGCTTCCAAGCTGCCAGTCACTGCTTGATCTGAGGAAGCTCTGGCCGTCCTGGTGTAAAGTATTGCCCAGGGTGAAAGAGATGAGGATCACCTTAAAAATAAAATAACTCATAGTAAACATTGGCCTGTGGTTTAAAGGTGTGAGATAGGGCCCTGATGGTTCTGAAAAAGCTGTTGTCTCATATTACCCCACACCTGCTTCATGCACTGGGCTTTGCTAATGTCAGAGATACAGCTCAGTTTGTGTATGCACAGCTGGTTACTGAGGGTAGGATCAAACTTGGCTCCTCTGCGTCAGGGAAAGTGTCTTCTTAACTGGGCAATTTTATCTGCTATGGCCTATAGTTTTAGGCTTTTAATGCTAACTGAACATATATTTTAAGTTGTGAAATATAGGACATCAATCTATATAAAAAGTATAGACCTGTGTCCTGTAACTCCCTGTCCCAATTAAAAGAACAAAGTCTGAAGCAAGGAAAAAACTTGTGTCCAGACAGTGAAGCATTCATAACATTTTCTTGTCACTGGGTTCTAGTAATATTTAGTCTATATTTTCTAAAAAATAACAGAACTTTATAGTTTTCATCATGCACCTCATATTCAGGAAATATATTTAATTGCAACTAATATGTATGTTTAGATAACAGAAGAGATTTGTAGGTAGACAGGAAATGTTAATAAAAACAAATTTTATGTTTGACAGTTATGCTGACACAACATTAAAAAATTGATATTAGAAATGACGGGGTAGTTCTATGTTTTTGTCTTTTCCTTTTAACCTTGTATCTTAATATGAAAACAGAATATATTGTGGCAGACTCATAGACTTATAACCTACATAAGAGAAAGACAGACAGTTTTGTTGATATATTTTACTTTCCCTAGATTAGGGGTTTTCACCAAGCAGGCTTGTTCTTCTTGCTTGTCTTTCACATCTAAAAGAATCCATAGACCCCAGAGTTTTGGACATAAAGATGAAAATCATATTTGTGTGTCAGGAGATTGCTGAAAATTGTTACTTGAATGACACATGTTCAGGATTTGCATGCTTCAGCTGGAATTGCTGATAGGTTTAAACGTAGCTTTGCCAGGTGTATTTATACATACATACATACATATATATGTGTGTATATATATATATATCCCTGCTATTACTTGAGAATCAATTTCAGCTGTATCTGTGGCACTGTATGTATGGAGCAGATGTTTGTCCAAGGTAATGAAATGTATTCAATTTTTGTAGTTCCAAAAATTTTAGTTCTTTATTACAAGGGTTCGTGGTGACAGGTCAAAGGGAATGGCTGTAAACTAAGAGAGGGTAGGTTTAGATTAAATATTAGGAAGAAATTTTTTACTGTGAGGGTAGTGAGGCACTAAAACAGGTTGTCCAAAAAGGTTGTGAATGTCTGGAAGTGTTCAAGGCCAAGTTGGATGTGGCCCTGAGCAATCTGGCTTAGTGGAAGTTTCCCTGCCCATGACCATGGAAGGGAGGTTAGAACTGGATGATTTAAAGTTCTTTCCAAATCAATCGATTATTCTACAATACTTCAGTGATTTGTGATAACATTTATTCTGCAAGTTGCATTAGGCATTAACTAAATCTCATGATTTTGTACAGAACTGACTGTTGAATAAATAGCGCAAGAGAAACACCTTCTTTCAGAGGTGTCACTGACTGTTGAAACTGCATTGTTTTAATCAAAACGTTGCTCCTGATAGAAAATATTTTAATCAGAATAAGGCAGTCACACAATCTCCAGCTTGGAGGCTTTCACTGGGGAGCTGTGCCCCCTGCTGTTGGCTTGAGCACAGTGAAGGAATAGCAATAAGCACCAGCCTGAATACTTTTGACCTGAAACATGGGTAAAATGGGACAGTTCAAAATCCTTCTAACATAACTAATTTCATATGGCAAGTTGTTGTCCAAAACCCAATTGTGGTATGAGAATTTTTGTCAAAATGCTACAGAATATTTAATTCAAGTTTCATTGTAAATTGCATCTGGTGGCTAAGAATATTTTTTGTTTCTCATCACCTGAGAGACTCATCAGTGAAAAAGAGGAGAAAAAGAACTTTTGAGATGGATTTTTTTTTCTTTTCTCAGTGATGAAGCTTTAAAAGTCATGATTTCTTCTGAAACAATGGGTAGAAAAAGTATTAACTCTTCTATCAAAACAGAAGTACAAAACCAAAAAATGTATGGTTACTGGAAAGATTATTGTTCTTTTCATTATTGTTGAACTTTTTTTTCATCAAATACTGCTTAAAATCCAACTCAAAGCTAATTTGTCTATATTGCTGGCTGGCTATTCTGCCTGTAATTTGCCATACCTTTTACTCTTACTGTCCACAATGGTGATAGTCACAAAGAATCTATAAGTCATTGAGGGATGCAGTGCTTCTTTCACTATTTCTGAAATACAGTTCTCAATAACAAAGGCACAGGGGAAAAAAATAATAAATTCAGTTGCTGTTCTAAACTATAAAAATCATAATTTCAGCTGCTATTCTAAACTATTTTTCTCTTTGAGATACTAAGCTGCTGGAAAGACACCTTCATGAGCAACACAATTAAGTTTTATAACAAATGTAAAATTCAGATGTGCATATATGCAAATAAGCATATTTATGCATCACAGTGGTAGTTTAGCTGATTTCCAATCTAGGATTTTGTTACACAAGCAGTGTTCATTCTTGTTATGTTCCACATTAAACTCTACAAGCATAGTGCAAGTTGGAGAAGTATCCAAACTGCAAGACAGGGACTGGGGGAGCAAAATCCCTCTCGTGGTTAGAGATCAGGTTTGTGACCACTTGAGGAACCTGAACCTACAGTGGTCTATGTGATGTTGAAGTAAATCCCAGAGTCCTGAGGGAATTGGCTGATGTAGCTCCATGCCACTCTCCATGACATTTGAAAAATCATGGCAGTCAGGTGAAGTCCTAAGTGACTAGAAAATGGAAAAAATCACACTCATTTTTCTGAAGGGCATAAGGGAGGATCCTGTGAGCTACTGTCTTGTCAGCCCTACTACCTGAGAATAGAATAGACCTTCATGGCAGCTATGCTGCATGGAGGACAGAGAGGTGAATCAGAACATCCAGCAAGTTCTGCCTGCCAAACATAGGGGCCTTCTGTGGTGGAGTTGACTACATCAGTGGACAAGGGAAGAGCCACTGATGCCATCTGTCTGTACTTCTGTAAGGCCTTGGGGACAGTCCCCCACAGCATCCTCCTGTGTCAGCTGGAGAGATGGGTTTGGGTGTCCTGTGTGGTGATGGAGGAATTGGTGGAACCATGGCGCCATCCAGAGGGCAGTGGTCAGGGGTTCAATGTCCTGAAGTAGGTCAGTTGCAGGTGGCGTCCCTCAGGGGTCCATATGGGGACAAGTGCAGTTTAATGGTTTTTAACAGTGACTTAGGCTAAGGGATCAAGTGCACCCTCAAGAAGTTTGCAGATGACACCAAGATGAGTGGTAGGGATAACACACCTGAAGGATGGAATGCCATCCAGAGGGACCTGGACAAGCCTGAGAAGCCAGCCCACGAGATCCTCAAGAGTTTCAACAACGCCAAGTCAGGGCCAAGCCTGAGTCAGGGCAAACCCTAGGATTAT